CATCTACCTCCTATGACTGCGACTTTCCATTATCAAGTCTCATTCGAATTACATCTTTCATTTCTACAAAGATGTACAGGCTTGAGACCAACATGCTGTACCAGTGGCTTACAGAAGAAGCGAGCAGTTTATTGTTCTGAAACCCCCTTTCAAAGACATTATCAACCCAGTTTCAATGTCCAAACAGCTTTACCTTGCGCGCTTAAATCCCAACGTCAGTCTCGCTGAGTAACTATATCTTATGTAACATACTTGCACAAATCAAAAAATTTCAATTTGATCATACAAGTTCCGTGAACCCTCATTTTAAATGCTAGAACAGCTCCTGTTTCTCGCATTCTTCATACAGAAAAACTCTGTCTTCCGCTTGCCACCGACAAACGGAGAGAAACAAAACCACTCGACGATGTGATACTGCCTTGCGGCCACTCCCTTATCGTTACTGACTCCAAGCTTTTGGGAAAAGGCCAGCGCCTATTTTTATCAACACTCCGAAAATCTACCAAATTTACGTTCTTACAGAGCCGTCTTACGACAGGGGAGACCAAGGAGACCAAATTAACATGGAAAGAGTATGATTTATACGAAACTTCTATTCGTTTGCAGATAATAGTTGTTCCTCCTGTGTTTAATCGAAAAAGCACTTGTTGCGGGTAAAATTTGGTCTACACAAATCTGATAATTCTATAATTAGCGTTAACCCTGCTAAAGTTTATAAGTTAATATTGTAACACTCATCATTTAAAAGGTTATTAGGCAACCAATGTGGTTGTAATGTGCATTAAATGTGCATTAACAAATGAAAATCTCTAATCAGTAGAAGAAAGAACAGACTATATTCTTGAAAAAGCTAGTTCTTACTTGATGGGAACAGATCTTACTGCGTGAAGAAACGATAAAGCCAAGTGAGTGACAAAAAAAACTTTTAAAAACAATTTTACTATGTGCCAGTCACTGTTTACCTTTCATAAAAAGCATTGTTTCATGCGCCCCGTTTGAGGGTTCCTCAGTAGCAAAAAACCCTCCTTCATCTTACCTCGACTCAGAAGTAGACTTCAAAAATCCCTGCGTAGAACGTCTCTAGTATACGGGTATAGAAGTAAACTACTTCTACTCAGCGCAGGTTACTAAGCAAAATGCCAGTGAATAATGAGAAGTTATGATTCCTCGCCAATATATCTGCTAAAAACGGCTACCGAGCCAATCTAATTGGCTCCTTAAAGATAAATCCATATTACAAACAGCCAACAGCGTTCTGTCGTAAAGCTCACATCGAACATTATAGACAATATTCACGATCATATTCAATAATATCTTTGAATATCTGTAAAATCAAAAGAAAAATACTGTCACGAGAGCTGTGCCACAACGTAATGTTTCTTCACTCTGCTACTAGAAAATGAGATTACTACACCAACGAGTTAGTAAAGATTGATCTGAAAAGAGGAAAAATCCGGAATTGGTGCTTTGAGGAAGCCGCAATTTGAGTGCACTTACGAAGCAGCAGTTTTCATCTATAATCCATCTATCTTAACTATTTCAAAAATTATTAGAAAATTCTCAAAATGAGACTTCTTAAGATATCCCAAAAAATTTACCTCTTCTTGATGTCAGCAATTGGAAAAAATCGACTGCAGAAAGCCACTTGGGAAAGAAGGCACACTGCTGTAAAAACTTGCAGAAACATCTAATTTCATGCTATAACTTCATATTTCTTACGCACAAGAATCAAATTAGACAAAAAAAGCAACAGGTCGTCACTTGTGAATACACAGTTTGTAACCAGCAATTCTGGAAAGATGCTTCCCACAACTCCGTATCAAATTGCGCCTGGTTTAGAAAAACGTAGTGATTTTATCTTTTTTAATTGTTTGCTTTATAGCAACTTTTGTAGACATCGAATTATCTGGTTACCAATTACTACAAACATAAAGAAGCCAAAGTCATGCAAACAAGCTGGGTTGATCGACATGCCGTAATAAAATTAACTTGATTTTTTGTAACGAGAGTGCTTTTTCACACAATTCCTAAAAAAAGTTTTAATCAGTAAAGTAAGCCAATGCTTCCGGCAAAAATTAATTTGAAGCTCATCAAATTTTTGACAAAAACGTAGTGATTTCTCTCAGGCGGCGGCGCAGTGCTCTCAATTATAACTATTATGAAAACAAAACAAAAATTTGTTTGTTAAATCTTTAAATGAATCGGCATGCCACTTTCATAGGCTTTAGAAATCTAACAAAAATCTAACCAAACTTTCTCAAGCAATCAATGGTGAAAGGAAATAAACAGCATCACCTGAATGTCGTTGGTGTTGATAATCACTAAAACAGAAACAAAGGGAAATTTCTTTAAAGTCCTTCCTATAACGTGCTTCTTGCAGGCTTTTATCACGGGAACGTCGTTGGCAAGGCAGAGATTATTGACCTCCTCAAAGTTTTCAGATACAAGATCTGTAAAACTTATATCGGTAACTTTTGACTAGCTACATTTCGGAAGATTTAAAGCGAAACACGATAAACAGAAGTTTCTTTTAATCAAGAGACTGACTGTTTTTTGCACCCATTTCGAGGTCTTCCGCTACTATAACTAGTTTTGCGTTCCCAAGTTCTAAGTGTTTCTTAACCTCACCGAAGCCACAAACAAACCTTCGCTTAGATCGTGCCTAAATTACATGAAAATTATGATTCTTTTTGAGAAACTTTAAATATGATAAGAAAGTGAATAATTTAGAGTATTATAAATGCCAAGTCAACTTTACTTTGATAGGGTTTTCCTTCCAAGCACGATGCTGAAGCTCGCAAACACGCTGCAATAATTTTAGTACCGCCTTGTCAATATCTGAGCCAGAAGATGACTTATTTCGCTGGTAGCATTCTACATCTCGCGCATCATCCGTGACCTTCTCCTGAAACAGAAGTTTAAAAGTTAACAAAGCTCACAATTAATAATGTTAAAAATGTCAATGGAGAAAACACTACTTTACTGCTTTCACAAATCCAAAAAAAAAAAAAAAAAATGAGCAAGCACGCTAAAATTTTCTGCAATGCAGTTTTAACGAGAAGGCTGCCTTTTTATCACAGGACCCGAAAAACCTTCAACTTCTGAAAAGCCAAAATAAGTTCATTTAGAGCGGAGAAAAAGGATTACACGTTATCCACTTTTTTCTGCTGCCGAAACTTTTCTTCGCAAAAAGCTACAGTTCTGATAGTTCATAGATGATACTTTTTTGCAGAAACTGAAATATGTTTGGCACTCTTTTATTTCGAAGGCACCATAAGTAAGGATTCAAAATTGGCCAATACAAAACGCTATCGAACAAGGTTGCAAGCAAGTTGTTCCGAAATTCTACCTGCTGTTCCCTAACCATACTGCACTAAGAATAGCATCTAGACTTGTCCTAAACACTCCGCCTGTTGAAGCTATAGTTGCCAGCACTTGAGCTGCAGTTTCGCCAGAACCCGTCTAATATCAGCCTCAGACCCATATGATGTAACCTTTAAAATCACCAGTGAAAGCAGCATGGTACCGGAAGAAATCTCAAG